AGACAGGGGTAGTCTTGGGGGAATGCTAGCTAGGAGGAGCCAGGTGACTGATTCTCTCCTTTTATAGGGGGTCCAAGAGGTGGGTGGTAACTGTGCCAACCTCTTGACCCACCTACCTGTTAGTCCGTCCCAAAAACAATCCTATTGGTTGCAGGTAGGGAGGGAGGTTACCTAGGAGGGATGGCCAATATTGTAACCTAACTTAATTGAAGGATTGGCATCTGAGCAGGTGTGAAATCCAGGTGTCAGGATGCTTCCTTGTAGTGCTGATGAAGTTGGCCAGTTCCTTTGATAACCAAATGTCCATCTGGCAGGAAATGCCAGCTCAGGAACAAAGCAGTTACATGGTGATGGGTGATACCTGACCAGCAATCAGCTTTGCCATCGTGGCTTTTTCTTCCCAAAGTTGTTTCATTGATAACAATAATGGAGATTTGTGCTTCTTCACCAGGCTGTGCAACTGTGTTGCTGAAACCGTAAGGTATGTGCAGGCACCCTCTATGTGTGTCATCACAATAGGTGACCTAAAGTGTACAGTTCTCTGAGCCCACGTGTATGAGCACAGTCCATTGTGTAGCAATAAGCAGTCCATAAAACAAATATCAAGCTTGTTCCCTAACAGTTGACCACCTGGAACTTACTACTCATCAGAAAGTGTGACTGAATCCAGTAAGCAGAGTTGATCTCCCCAGCCTACCCTGCATATCTTCCATGATTTTTTTTGCTTTGTCCCAGACATTTTTCTCCTAGTTTTGCTCACTTCTCTCATTGGACCTGGGCTGAAATGAAAGGGGCAGGTATTGGTGGGAGAAGAAGACCTTCATTCAAATGCTTCTCTCATTCTTAAAGGTGGAGCTCCACAGTGCTCTAGATATATTCAAGCAGACATGTGATATAGACATGGCTGCCACCATTGTATCCAGTATGATCCTGAGAAATCAGCTAAAGGTATTTGCTGTTCACCAATGCATGTCGTTAACAAAAAGCAAACTCCTTCATACCTTCTTAGCATACCTTCTTCTTACTGTGGAATTACTGTTGGGTGGCAAATGACCTAGGCGTTAATTCTGTTCCTTTTCAGTCTTCTTTGTCCCATAGTTATCTCTTTATTGTTGTCAACTTAAGGGCTTCTCTCTGAGGAAGGTCTCAGAAGATCTCATTACTGTCTTCATGCCAATTAAAAGAACATCACTAATGTTATTGTTCTGAAAAAAGATATGCTTTAACTCTTAAGGCAGCCAACTTGAATGGTTAGCAAATGTATCTTGATGTATTTTTAAGTAAATTCATGTTATCTGAAGCAACTGCTTATTGCCTTCATTGGTTGGATCTAAATGCTCAACTCAATGGGGGGAAAGATCACTACTATGTACCACAGCCTGCTCACTTCCCCATGAGTGTTTTTGCTGTCTGTCAGAGTTAGCCACAGAGTGACCTCAAACTCATCTGTGACATTTTATGTTTCCACTCAATTGTGTGTTGTCCAATGGATATAGGGTTGACAAGCTAAGCCAGGCAACTGGCACGGAGATTGGATGCAATGGTGGGAGGGACCTTGTGTCGCAGGTATAATGACATTACTTCCAGGGAAAACCCAGACATGACAGAAAGTAGCTCTAGACTGGTGTGAATTCTATGGAAAAACCATAGATGTCCTCTTGGATAACTCATCTGGTCCAGATCCTTTTCAATCTCATTTCAGACCCAGCTATAGGATAGAGACCAGATTACTGGGTTAACAACTTCTGTTTGAATGTAGACAAAGACCAAGCCTCTTTGTTGTTCCCACTGGATTTATCTGCCGCCATTGATACATCTTGTTGAGGTGTTTGGAGGCAGAAATAGCCATCAAGGGTTGTTTTGGACAGATTCATATCATTCCTCACCAGCCAAACCCAAAGATTGCTGTAGGAAGACAGTTATTATCAGTGTAGGACCTATTATGTGGAGGTGCAATCCTATACTCAGTGCTTTTTTTGTAGCAGGAACTCCTCTGCATATTAGGTGAGACACCCCTAATGTAGCCAATCCTCCAAGAGCTTAGGAAAGCCCCTGTAAGAAGAGCTCTCTTTGTTGCAGGAACTCCTTTGCATATTAGGCGACACACTCCTAATGTAGCCAATCCTCCAAGAGCTTACAGAGCTCTTGGAGGATTGGTTACATTAGGGGCGTGTCGCCTAATATGCAAAGGAGTACCTGCGACAAAGAGAGCTCTTCTTACAGGGCTATTCTCTTCAATCCCTATGTAAATCCCTTACCACTGTGTATTTTACTGGCTGTTGCTGCAAGTAAGTTCCTACTATGTAATTTTTGCTTTTGTTTAATGTGTCGTGTTTGTACTTATGTTCTTATGCTGTTCTTCACCTCTGATTGATTTCCAGATCTCTACAAGAAAAATCCTATTGCATTGTCTATCTGATATCCTACTCTGTTGATTGTATTCTATGATTCTGTGTAACCTGACCTGATCCTGACCTAGATGGCTCAGTCTAGTTTGATCTCAGCAGATCTCAGAAGCAAAACAGGGTTGATCCCAGAAAGTATTTTGATGGGAGACCATCATGGAAGTCCAAGTCTTCAGAGACAGGCACTGCCAAACCACTTCTGTTTGTCTCTTGCCATGAAAATCCTACCTTCAACTTGGCAGCACTATCCACCACCAATCAGCCTTCAGTTCCCCTGAGAAAGGTGGACTTTCTTAACTGTCAACCTTTAAATTGCGTAATTGCTCAGTATTGATTACTTTTGTCTTCTTGATGTTTAGTTGTAATCTTGCTTTGGCACAGTGATGGTACCACTATGTAATGTCAACATATTTATCAGGGCTCATTGAAGATTAATGCAGTACTCAAAAAGGCAATGACCAAACATAACTATTGAACTATGCCATTCAATGCAGAAAGGACAGAAGCCTTAAGGTATATTGAAATCTTTAGTTTGGTACTAAAGGCCTATAGCTATAGAATACTCTTGAGTGCCTTGGAGTTATGGGACAATTTAATGGTACCATAATCTATCTTCAGTTTTAGTAGGAATGTCAACAGTAACACGCTTTGGTAGAACTGAGGGAAAGGCTAGAAAAGCAACATTCTGGTCAATTAGATTCTAGTCCAGAAGCACCTCAGAGACCAGAGAGAATTTTAGGATATAAATGTTCAAAAGTCAAAGCTCCCTTAGTCCCTACTGATAAACATTCGTCTCAATATTTTCCATGCTGCTTCTTTGAAGTCTTTGTTTCGGATGGTGTAGATGAAAGGGTTTAACATGGGGATGAAACTCGTACGCACAAGAGACACTACTTTGTTGGCTCGCGTATCTCCTTGGGTTGAAGGCCTCAAGTACATAAACATGTCTGCTAGATAAAAGATGATAACAACAGTAAGATGGGAGGTACATGTGAAAAAGGCTTTGGATCGGCCAGTGGCAGAAGAGATCCCTATGACTGTGGCTATGATGCATGTGTATGAAATCAACGAAAAGCCAAATGAACCCCACATTATAGTAGCACCATATAAGAGACCAATCAGCTCCATCAAAGTTGTGTCAGCACAAGCCAATTTCAGGACAGGTCCAACATCACAGAAGAAGTGATCAATTACATTCCGTCCACAGTATGGGTAACTCCATACAACTGCAGACTGTGAAATAATTATCACAAACCCTCCAACCCAAGCTAACAAGGCCAAATAGAGGCATAGTTCACTGGTCATGATGGCACTATAGAGCAAAGGTTTGCAAATGGCCACATAGCGGTCAAAAGACATGATGGTGAGGGTGATGAATTCAACAGCCCCCATTGTAAAGACAACAAAACCTTGTGCCATGCAACATGCAAAGCAGATGGTGGTCTTTCCAGACAGTACATTGTCAAGCATCTTGGGAACCTCTGCTGTTGTGGAACAGATCTCGGCCATGGAGAAGTTGACGAGGAAGAAGTACATTGGAGTATGGAGCATGGGTTCTTTGAGGACAACTATGATAATCATGCTGTGTCCTGTAAGTGACAGAAGATACATCAACAGAAATATGGTGAAAAATGTTCCATTCAGGCCATGAAGTTCAGGAAATCCCAGAAGAATGAACTCCGTGACTGATGTGCCATTGGCCATCTCTTAACTTTCTTCTTTTCTTAAACAGAAGAAAAAGTATGTGTCAATAAAACTGCTCATGAGAAGCATGTTCGAATGTACAAACCTCAAATAGAATAGTGATAAAACTGTGACAATTGTGGCAGATCTTTACATATGCTTCTATAAAAGTTCCCCAAATATCTAAAACTAAGTCTGTCACGGTCCCCGGGGCTGTGGGATGCTTGTCGGTCGGAAGCTGTCACTTCCAGGACATGACCTATCAGTAGCAGTTCTTTTACAAAGGAATTTCAAAAGGAGATTAGAAAGAGAGACTGCTGAATTGCCACTGATAATGAAACTCAAGACAATACACCCACCTGTACTAAATTGAGACTGAAGTTTCTTGTCTCATTACCAATGCTGATTTCTCCTCATCCACTACCCCTCTGCATATCAAACCTAATCCAAACATGCCTACTGTTTTTATTCACTTGCTATTGACATCTGAAATCTCTCCACTTTCCAATAGATTGGACAGATGGAGTCACATTCTAGCTGTATCTGAAGAAGTGAGCAGTGACTCATGAGAACTCATATGCTGCCACAAATGTTGTTAGTCTTTAAGGGGCTACTGGACTCTTGCTCTTTTTATCAGTGTAGGTCTCCTAATCACAAATTTTTCTGGGACTGGGTTACCTAAGGGAAACACTCATTAGAGAAACAACTAGCTGGAGCCAACCCATGACTTTTGGAGGTACATGATCTTCTCATGAAGAAGAAGAAGAAGAAGAAGAAGAAGAAGAAGAAGAAGAAGAAGAAGAAGAAGAAGAAGAAGAAGAAGGAGGAGGAGGAGGAGGAGGAGGAGGAGGAGATTGGATTCATACCCCGCCCTTCATTACCCATAGGTGTCTCAGAGCGGCTTACAAACTCCTTTCCCTCCCCCTCCCCACAACAGACATCCTGTGAGGTAAAAGAAGAAGAAGAGATTGGATTTACACCCCGCCCTTCACTCCCCAAAGGTGTCTCAGAGTGGCTTACAAACTCCTTCCCCTTTCCCTCCCCACAAAAGACACCCTGTGAGGTAGGTGGGGCTGAGAGAGCTCTTGACAGAAACTGCTCTTTTTCAAGAACAGCTCTTGCCAGAGCTACGGCTTGCCCAAGGTCATCCAGCCAGGTGCAAGTGGAGGAGGTTAGAATCTGCGCACTTAACCACTACACCAAACTGGCTCTTTATCTTACCCCTGTGAAGTGGGATTTTTTTTCCCTGCATGAGATCATTGGCACCTCTGCAGTAGGCATCTGTATTGCATGCAATAGTAAAGCCAATTTTATTGTTATTTCTTACCCAAATGTCAGCTTTGCTTCTCAGCTAAACCAGAATTAAGGGGAGGATTGTTAATTTGAGGATAAACAGACAAAGTATTTAGAAAAAAATGTGTGTATGTGCTGAATGGTAAACAATCACATATGGTTGAATTCTATGGAACTTTCTCATTAATACGTTGTCGAAGGCTTTCACGGCTGGAGTTCATTAGTTGTTGTAGATTTTCTGTGCTGTATGGCTGTGGTCTTGGCATTGTCGGACCTGACGTTTCGCCAGCGGCTGTGACTGGCATCCTCAGAGGTATAACACAGAAAGATGGAGTACTCTCTGTGTCTGGGTTGCAAATCTTGACACAGAGAGCCCTCCCTCTTTCTGTGTTATACCTCTGAGGATGCCAGTCACAGCCGCTGGCGAAACGTCAGGTCCTACAATGCCAAGACCACAGCCAGACAACCCAAAAAATTTACAACTTCTCATTAACGATGGTGTTTTTCTCTGGCCCAAAGACAATTTGTTGGTGCACCTGGATTGGAGGAAAACATTGCTGCTTGTGAAAATGATCCATAAGATCTAGCTCATACAAACAGAGGACGTAGGAAGGATCCCTTAAATATTATATAACCATTCCATAACCATGAAATGAAATGCTTGTCATCTCTACAAATCTCACAAAAATCCCATCCTGACGAAGTAATTACAGAAGTAATTACAGAATTTCTTTCCAGTCAGTCTTGAATCGTCATCAGCATCATCTTCATGATCAGCTCCATAGCCCCCTAACTAGACCATACTTGGCCTCCTGAGGAATATAAGGAATATGAAAAATGGGAAAGATTCATTCTTTCTGATAGGATTTCAAAAATGGATTTCGCTGATGACCAATGATTTCTCACTGCCCCAGCTCTGAATATCAGGTTAACCCTCCCTGCATTGGTCCAGGGTTGTTGAGAAACTCCTTATAATAATGCAAGGTATTATGAACATTCACAAAACCAAAAAAAAAAATTCTGTGTCAAGGAGAGAGAAAGAGACAAAAGAAAACCCTATGCAATTTAATCCACACTTGTCCCCACAGCAGGGAGGGCGGGCTAATGTTCAGACAAGTAAAAAAGGGAAAGAAAGAATGTAGCAGATAGGGAACACTGTTGGTAGCCTCCCCATATCCAGTTTTGACTTTAAGGTGCCACTGGAGTCAAGTTTTGCTCTTGTACTGTGCGACTGATGTGGCTGCCCATTTCAAAACTTCTTGTACACAACATGACTAGATATCTAACAAGTCATCTGACAGTGGGAATGTGTGTGCCTCTTAGATGGACAACCAGCCATTGTCTTAATCACGAAAATGAGCTTACCTGTTAATGAAATGCCCAGTCTGACATATTGTGGTGCTGATCCCTCTCTCTCTCTCTGGCCCAATCTGCATCTAGCATTTGCTCCGCTGTGTTACCAAACCCACGCTGGAACAGAAATTCCTTTCTGCATTGCACGCCACTTTACTTTGATTGATTGTCGGATTTTACGGCAACGTCCAAACTGCATGCCACTTTCACTTTGTTGGTCTCTCAGTTTTACGGTAGCGTCTGCATAGATTTATGGCCATTTTATGGTCATTCAGGGGTGACTTTGCCTTCAGTATGCTGTTGGCCAAGGGAATTTGAATGTGGCTCTGAGACATCTTTTTCTGTTCCAGTGTGGGTTTGATAAAACAGCGGAGCAAATGCTAGATGCAGATTGGGCCTCACTAAAATTCACCAAGAAGAGTTCCAAGTCCTTAGTCCAGATCTCTCTCTCAGTCTTTAAGACAGAGCCCTGCACTGCTTTATATAAGGTTGAGGAGATGTCATTATAAACATGGCTGTTACCATCACACAATCTTAATCATTCAGCTAAGGAAATGTGCTGTTCATCAATGCAAGATAGTCAGAAAAAGTCATACCTTCTTAGCAGCTTTGAAATAAATTCTGGAGATAATACTAACTTGCAAAGGTCCTAGATATTAATTCCCTTCTGTTTCAATCTGCCCCCCCCCTTTTCATTACCATATGTTTATTGCCATCCACTTAAGGGCTTCTCTGAGGAATTCCTCATAAGATCTTGTCGCTCTCCCTAAGCCATTAAAGAAAACAAACATTGAGCCACCCCCTCAACAGCTAACTTGACTAGTTCTTTATACTACACTAGGAAATGTTTCTTGATGCATTTGTAATCAGATCCAGGATACCTGAAATAACTGCTTATTAACTTCATTGGTCATATGTAAATGCTTAATTCAATGGGGGAAAAATAATGTGTGCTACTATGTACTGGACTATTCCCACTTTTGTGTGAGTTTTTTTGCTGTCCATCAGAGCAGGTCACACAATAATAAAATTGTGGCCTCAAACTTATTTGAGATTTTTAATGCTTTCCCTCAATCGTGTGCTGTGCATTGAATCTAGAGTTCATAATCTCAGCCATAGAGTTGCCATAGAGCTTCGAAGCGATTCCACAAGCCACCCACCATCACTTCTGGGTTTTTCCTGGATGTGACGCCATAATAACTTCAACACTACTTCCCCGTCTATTTCTCCTTGGCCCCTTGGAGTGGCAGCAGGCAACAGGAGCTGGGATGGTCATTCCTTGCTCCGACCAGGAAGATGAGATTCCTAGATGAATCCCATATATTAATTAAGACTTGGTATGAAAAAATAAGGAAAATGCATTTCACCCTGTAAAACTATGGCTGCGGTCACACGAGCAGGAAACTGCGCACCTCCACCGAGAGCAGCAGGCTGATTGGAAGGGGACGGAACGGGCCGTTCAAAGCCCACTCTGGACAGGGTCCTGGGCCACTCACAAGGAGGGGAGGGGAGGGGGGAGTAACCCACCGGATCCCCCTCCCCACCAGCAGCCCGCCTGCCCGCCCTCCCTCCCCCCGGGACACGCGGCCCGCTCTCTGCCTGGCTGCTGCCACTCGCCCCCATTGCAGCCCCCCCATGGCCCTACCTCGACCCTAACGCCGCACGCCTTTGTGTGCACGCGCTGTTGGCCGCTTCTAGAGGCATGGGGGGGAACCACCCGGTGGGCGCCGGATGCCACGGGAGTCCGGCAGGGGCGCGATCAGGCGCCCGCCCTTGCTGCGCAGTTCCCAGAAACTAGTACCTTGGAGGTACTAGTTTTTTACTGCGCATCTTCGGCCAGTAGCCACGGATCAGCCATGGGAGCTCTACACTCCCCAGATGTTGCTGTGAGATCGCGCCCGGAAACTCCGCCTCTCTTCAGTCCCTCTTGCGTGCTTACTGCTCCGTGTGACCGCAGCCTATATTTACCTAACGTTCTTAGATCATTGACATTGTACATAACTGAAGCTTTTAAGAACTACAAACTTAATATCAGGTATCTGTAGGCCTGTGGCTCCATTCCCCTACTGATAATTCCCACTGATCCAACCATACTGCATTGAATAGAATGTTAAGGAGCCCATTTCCCCTTGTAACTCCAAAACAGAAAATGGTGGCTTGCTGTGTGGGTTCATCCAGAGATTAAAGTAAAATCAGTCCCAAATTACATAAAGCATACTTGCATGCATGCATGCACATACACACACAGAAATAAATATGTAGTCCTTAGTTCATGGCTGCTGATCTCATTAAATCAGCAAGGTTTAGGTGTGCACTAAGCTTTGGGGGAAATCTGTTTGGCAGGCATTCACAGCCATTTTGCACCAACCCAAAAG